GTTCACTTTGGCAATGACCTGGTCATTTTGGCATGTTGATGGCCGACCGGAGCGTGGCTCGCTCTCCACCCGTGTGCGGCCGTCTTTAAACCGGTTGTACCACTCCTTAATCTGTGTGATGCCCATAGCATCGTCACCGAAAGCCGTCTCAATCTTCCGAATGGTTTCTACCTGGCTGTCGCCCAGTTTCTGGCAAAATTTGATGCAGTAGCACTGCTCCAGTCGTTCCGTCATTTTCCTTGCAATGAAAAACCGACGAGAGCACTACACACTACCTCACTTAATGGCTGCTTGCCAACAACTGACTCAATCAACAAGCAGGAAAAAATTCACGCATGCGCATGAAGGTTCAAGGTCGGCTCATGCAAGCACGCTTGATTCAAATCCATCAGGTTATCACAAAAAAAATAAGGTCGGATACTTTTCTCACGGGCCTCGTATTTGAGTTTTTCCTTCAATGCCTGTGTTCATCAAAACTTTAAGATTATAACAACACTTTAAATTGAATTATTTTCACTGATATTTATATAGATTTATTTGTTTTTAAATCAAAATCTGTAACCCTTACTATAAATACTACCTTAATTTTTTTAACCCTAAGATGACATTTTTTGTCAATGTGAAACATCATGCCTAACCAACACATTATTATAGAAACAAAAAATTTTAATAATAAATATTTTTTTCTCATGTTTCTAAAAATGTTGGTGAATGGAAACTGATTACAAGTGAAAAGTACAATCAGAGAAAACACTAAAAGATTCACTTAAAGATCTTGGGCTTTAGGAGATATAATTAAGAGTGCTAGCAGAGATGTGTTTTTGTGGTGCATGTAGAGGCTAATGATGTAGGGAAAGGTAGGTCAGAGGATCTAATTAATAAGTGCATGGGGTTGATAAAGACATTTAATGAAAGAGGCCATAACTTAATTTTTCTCAGGGATACTATACTGCCCAGAATTAACTGTGTGGCTGAAGTTATAAGTTAAAGTAGGTTACTAGAGCTAAATGCTAGGCTTAGATTAGTATGCAAGTATGAGCAGATTTATTGGTTGGACTTGCAGGATCAGTTCCTATGGAAGAAGGGAGCTTGTTGGAATGGATGGTTTACATTTAAACAGGGTAGGGTTGGCTTGTTTGCTAAGGCTATTAATTCAGCTATAAGGGAAGTTTTAAAACTAGGACTAGACAGTGGTGAAGGACAGGAAAAACTGAATGCAAAAATAATAAGAGGCAGAAAAAATTTAGCATAGGAAAAAGAGTATAGAAGTAGTTACAAGGATAGGCTTAATTGTTACTATTGTAATGCAAGAAGTATACGAAATAAAATAGATGACTTTAGAGCACTTGTAGGAATGGAGGATTTTGATATAATGGAAATAACTGAAACATGGTTAAACATAGATGATTTTGATGACAGAATGTTTTTAAAATACAAGGATACAGGCTACTTACTAAGGATAGAGTATTAACCCGATGACCACTGGCTACTAACTTTCTTAGTAGCCAATGCAAGTCTTGCTATATTTCATTCCAACAATAGTGGATGAAATCGTTTGAAACTTCATAAGAACTTTCATAAATGCATGTAGTTTAGGAAACATAAAGCCTGTTACTTTTGATAAATTTAGTTTTTTTGCATCATGATCTTTAATATCTTGGAAAATTACATTAGGAAATGGCATTTATAAAAAATGATTACGATATTCATATTTGCTACAGATTTAAACTTATTACTTTTTATTTTTAGTACATTATTTTGAAATCCCTAAAAAAATTGTATCCTCCATAAAATGCAAATTTTATCTATTTTTAATTTTTTAATAATCACGTACTCTTCTTATGGTTTCAAGTAATATACAAGACCCGAAAATGATATTTGTAAATAAACCTAAACAATAAATGAGTATTTTTATTTTTAACTAGGATTTCATGTTTATATATGTACATAAAAGCATTTTAATTTTGTTTCATAAATATATTTTTATTTCAAATTTATGTTTGTTTCATTGCAGTTGTACTTTTGTGTTTATTGTGGCGAATAAACCGTGGGGTCAGCAGCGTGAACTTTGTACGTTGTCTGTAAACTATCTCACCCCTTTTGGTGGTCACTCTCATTCAACCGAGCGCGTGCGCATTTGAACGTCACTGTAGATATGATAGTAAGAAAGCTTTTCAGTACTTGAATATCATTTCTTTGAACTTTCAAACAAGTTTATTTCAACATATGTCTGTGTATGTTGTTTCAGAATAGAGACAAAACTAATTGCCACTACTAACAAATGTATGTAACAGTTTATAGTACAGGTGGTTTCAATAAACACCACCTGAGCCTGACCCCTTGTTACTTGATACATCCTGTTAGAAGAGATTACCAAACAATACAGACACCATGAATTACAAAGAAAATTACTTTACAGCACTTAAAAGATTAGTCCTGGTCACATTCCTCTGATTATAGGCAAGATTTATGTTGGAATGCAAAACTTAAGCCCTTCAGTGTATTGAGACCCCAACTGTGAGAATGTCATAGCTTCCCTGTATTATTTAGTATTTAGCCTGTTTCACAACCAACATATGGATTTTATTGTTGTTACTTGTACACTGAGTTTGGACCATTTGCAAAATATCAGAATAAACTCTCTCTCTCTATATATATATATATATATA